ATAAGAAATATAAAATATAGTCATACGATCCTTGGATCCCATGTATCATTTATATTTCTATATTCTATTTTTATTTCTAATTCTATTTATATACTATCTGGTATAAAATAAAGACCACGAAGTCCAATAATTTAAACTTTCTCGCTTTAGAACTAGGGGACGGGCAGATGGAAAATCTGCTGAAAGTTTTAAAAACAAATTAAAATCAAATTTTTTTAATCTGTATTTCCTATTTTTTTGCCATGCACAAGTTTCACAAAAAAGAAACAAAAAGCAAAATAAGAAAAAAACATACACACACTCAAGTAAATAAAAAAAACTGCAACAACCGAAAGCCACAAATCAATATTCTTTTATGATCGACTGTAGACGACCTCAATTATTAAATGGCCAAGATCTCTTTCGCTCTCTCTCTCTATCTCTCTTTGCTGTTTCTTTCTCCCTTCTTCTTAAAAAACAAATCCCCATCTCTTTCTCCTACGTATGTGCTCTTTTTCTAACGCTCTTTTGTGGATTCCATTGGCCATAATATAGCAAAGTGCGTTAATTTTTTGTGGGAAAGTGGGTCAGACACACACCGAATTTGAAATTTCGGTTCATCGAACACACAGAAATAACGCCCCTGAGTGTGCATATGTGTTGGAGTGTGTGATGAATCGAACTTCATCATCCCCCTTTCCCCACATATATATTCATTCACTACATCACAGAAATGACGCATTGCATCGCTTTATATATTTTTTTGGATACATCATTGAATGTAGGGTATATCGGTTCCAAAATATATCATTATTTAAACTGTGTCGCAACTGCAACTGCGCTTTGTGCTGTGATAGATAAGATAGGGAAGAAACTTCGATGTCCCAGGCCAGGGTTCTTGACCTCATTCCCTGTTTCCATTTTGTAATATTCAAATTGTACATATGTATATGTCAAGCCCATAATGTCGATGTAGTAATATAGATAAACACGAGCGAGTGCTGGTATTTGATAACGAAATAATGCTTTGGCATTAAAGATTACATGAAGAGCTCAATTGGGTAAACATTGAATAAAAAGCAGTTAAGGGTTAAGGTTGATTTAATTTTATAGGTATTTCTTACTCTCATTTATTTATTTTTAAATGTATGGATCCTTATTTTAATTAAGTTCTTAAAGTATATTTAAGTAATATCATCTAGAAAGTCTGAATACTTGAATTCATAGGTTAGTTCTTCAAAATTCGAATACTTTATAAAATATTACGTATACGACCTGTTGGAGAGGGGGAACCAAAATAAAATAATTGTATATAAATAAAATAAAACAAAATAAATGCAACAAATTTAAATAAATAAAACTAATTAAAATAAAATTCCTTACGATTTTATACCTTTACCGGTATCTTTTAATTATGTGATTGTGTTTAAAAAATATTAAGCATACGACCTGTTGGAGAGGTGAGACCAAAATAAAATAAAACATTTCAATAATAGATTTTTGTTTAACTTAGCAATGTATTATTATTTTAAATTATTTATTTAATTAAATAACATAAAAATTTTATCAAATCTCATTATAATCTCCATGTTTTCATCTAATTTTCCCTCACGTAGGGCATCTAGAAATTCGTGGAAGTTTGTTCTTGCCTTAAGTTAAGCAACTTGTTATTTTGGCTTTGTAGGTTTTTAGGCCAAAAACGGGTATTTGGCATTTGTTGTGTTTGGTATGTGGGTACATATACTTACGTACAAGAGTTGAGAGACTTGAAGAGCCGGGTCACCCTTGCTCCCCCGTAAATCTTCTCCATCTTAAGACACGAAATCCCCAGATGTTTTTTGTTATTTTCTCGTACAGTATTCCCTGGGCATTGTTCGCGTATCTGTCGCCCACTTAATTTACTATGCATTCTGAAAAAGTATGTTTGAGTATTATGTAGTACGAGTTCAGCAGCCTCTCTTATTCACAAATAAGTAATATGTTTATCGTTCTCAATTCTGTGTGGAGTCTCGACTCACTCCCCCGTCGGGTTTGCTCTACAAATGAAGTTCAAACAGCATTCGGGCACGCTTGTTTACTGAGGGGTTTGGTCTTTCCCCTTCTAAAAAAAATATCTCTTAGAGAACTCTATTTCTTACCAATTTCAAGACTCCCCTTCCGATATTATGACAAATAAAGTTGTTATTTCGTATGTGTCACGATCGGTTTCTATTGCCCACGTTTTGTGTCGGTTTGCTGTGATTTGTGATTGTGGTTTCTATTTTGGTTCCGCCGATTCGTATTGTAAGTGAAAGTATATGGAACATGACGTAGTAGCCGTGGGCCCAAGTGTTGTTTGGCTTCTGCGGCGGCTTCTGTGGCTTCTCCGCAAAAGGTCAAAGTGTTTGCCGACGTGTTTGCTCACCTGTTTAGATGATAAGACCAACAGATTGCAACCAGGTTGGGGATTCATAGAGGGGGGGGAATGCTGTATGTGCAGATACCTCTTGATTGTAAATTGTTAGGGATGCTCTGAGACATTTAAGGCTATCAAATTTCATATATTTAAAACTATTTATAAATAAATTGCAGTTTTTTATGCCTTGGTAATACATTGTTTGGTGATCAAAATTAAAAGATATAAATTGATGCTATGCGATAATAATTATACAAAAATTTTTAACATTTAAGAACTTGTATTAAACTAAAAATTGATAAAAAATTATCTTCTAATATAAGAAATTATTTTTTAGGATTAAAAGTACATTTTACTGGTAACTAAGATTATATTTGTTATATCCTTGGAAGGCTATTCTAGTTTCAGTCAGAAGCTTACAACTATGTGAAGAAATCATTTGCGACGCTATAAATCATATATATTCTTGTTGAAAAAATTTTGCATATAAAAAAATATAAAATATTAATATTGAGAATGCGAAAATTTTAAGCAAAGTAATGATAGATTTCCTATTTAGTCTAATAAATATATAAAACTGCAAGGGTATATATAGAGTTTTATATTATTTAAAAGTGAAATTGGTTTAAAGGTAATTGTGGATATTTTGACTTATACTTTGACATATACTATTTATACTATGACAGATTTTCACTATTATATTTATTCAATAAATTCACTGATATGATATTCTCTTAAGAAATGAACTATTTATTTCTCCCCACTACTATAAGTAATAATTCTTAGTAATAAGTATTCCCTGACTTCTACATTCCCTACACAGAATACCATTGCAATGATTGTTGATTGCTGATTGTTGACTGCGTTGCTAGTTACATGTGTACTGTTCTTAAATGGGGGAATGGGGACTGCTGGATTGGGGTATGAGTATGGGTATGAGTATGGGTATGAGTATGGGTATGAGTATGAGTATGAGTATGAGTACGAGTACATGCCACTGCGACTTTTTACCCGGCGGCATCTTTCAACTCTCGGTGGCGGCATCCCGGCAATGCAGCAGCTCCCAGCTGGTGCCAGTGGCAGCTCAATCCCCCAACTCCTATGGTTAGTCTCGGCACACAATCCCCAATACTCAATCCCTGTACCAGTACGAGCTTCCGAACTAATTACATTGCAAAATACCTGAAATGTTGCGAAAGGCAGGAAATCAGCGAAACGGGAGTGCTGGGTTACTCTGGAATGGGAATGGGAATGGGTTCTGCGATCAGATCGCGATCTCTGCTACCCTTTATTTTTGCTTTTGTTTTGGCCGGAAATATGCATGGCTTGGCCAGCTTTTGGCCAGCTCCAAGCGCAAAAATAAATTTGAATGTGCTCTCGTCAGTGTCAGGGATTGGGAAGATCCCCACCGGCGCAACACAGTAGAGCAACCCCTCATCCCAATCCCCTCGTACTCAGCGGAGCAGAGAGCTTGGAAATTAATTCAGTTGCAGTCCAAGGCGCGTATTTCTGCCGTTGTGTTTGCTTTTGTTTCCATTTCGCCACCGTCGCCAGCACTCCACGGGTCAGTTGGGATCGAATCCCGGGTTCAGATGCCGCTTCACTTCTATATAACCTTACTTTATATATAGAGAGTAGAGTATTTTCCATACATATATAATAGGCGTGACAAGCGCGCTACGCTCCGCTGACGCCCAAAAAAAATAATAATCAAAGACAAAGGCTTGAGTCGAGTCGAGATGGCGATGACTATCAAGTGATGGAATCAAGTGGGAGGGGGAGGGTATTACACTAGAAAAAGTTTACTATATCTTTTAAGGAATTAAAGAAAAAATTCAAGAAAGATTCAAGCAACTTTCTATACCCATTTTATAGCTGGAAAAAATTGTACTGTCTCTTAAATTGGGATGTACTTATACATACCCATATATCAAGATTTAATAGGATAGTATATCCATATGATATCGAAAATATCTAAAGCTTTTATACATTTTGATTTAAAATTTCGAAAAAGATTAAATTGAACTATATATTATTGATATTTTCAATAAAGTATAATTAAGTAGATTTATTTTTCCCATCCCTATTCTTATAGCAAATCTTTTAAAACAAGTTCAGCTTATGTTCATATTCCCTACTCTCAACATAGTTTATTTCATGTTTTATAAATAGTAAAGACTTGCAAACATTTTCATCATTTTTTCCAGTGTAAAAGCAGTAATATAGGTGGAGGTGGAGGTTCAAAGTAGCGGGTGTACCCAAGGGATGGGGGAGGTATGATAATTACACCATGTCAGACGTGAAATTTTAATTTTTTTGTTGTTTCATTTTTATTCGTTGCTCATTCCCATTTCTTTAATTTCTTGTTGGACGCTTAACGAGCTCATCTCGAAGGCAGTCCGAAAATTGTATCAAAATGTCTTGTGGTATGAGAGATATAATGAACGATAATGAACTCGGGGAGGTTCAGGTGAACCCTGCAGAGGTTGAACTCCACCTGTGGAGCTACACAGAGCACCCGCACCCGCACCCGCAACTGAGAAAGTATACAAGTAAAGAGAAATGTTAATAATTATATATTTTTATTAAACAACTAATGCTTATTATTAAATCTTGAGCATTTTACCTAATGTCCAATATTATAATTCCTGCTTTCTGGCTGAAACTGACTCTTTAATTCGTCGGAAGCCTCGAAGCCACCTGTTATGCCAAACTGTAGCAGTATAAAGAGATATGATATAATGGCAGATAGGATCATAAGGATAAATTCATTGTTCAGGTGAAAGAAACCCAAGACTTTGATCTCCAAACGTTGGGTTTGTTGCTGAGCCAAAAAGGTTTCCACCTGAGGAAATAAATAAATAAAAATTCAAGTCTGTAGAATAGGAAATCCCCTGTAAAACTCACACTCTTATCCCAACGCTGATCCATATCGGTGCAAACTATATCCAAAGGCAACCTTTTGGGCTTCTGGGACTCTCTAACCGTGTAATCCGCACACATAATCAGAAGCACCAAATTGGCCAACTTAATTGAAGCCATGACCAAGGATACCAAAGCCATTTCATCCTCGTTGAGATAACGCAAAATACACTGATATAGCATAAGGCAAATGTTTATAAAGTTATAGTAGACATAAAATAGGATTTGCCATTGTAACATCTTCCTGAAAGCCAGAGTAACTTCATAGAGTTCACTGTAAATGGCAGCACATTCATCCAACTCATCGGAATAATCGCAAAGGAGTCGCATCCTGCGATAATTACTCATACGTTCCTGTGTCTCAATTGGTTCCATTCTCCTCAACATGGCCTTTATATTATCGGCCATGTGCTCGTACAGGATGCCGGAGACAAGAAATCCCAGGAAGCAGGTATCCAGGACGAAAAGTGTGCCCAACCACATGTACATGCCAAAGACAATGGACACGATTTCAAATATTTCCGCATAATTCTCGACACTCAAAAGGGGTATCAATTCGTGCAGGCAACCGCATAGCGTGAGGAATAATTTTAGCAAAAAGAAAACCACAAATTTCGAGGGAATCAACTGCTGCAATCGTGTGGCTTTACATATCCTTTGATACAGCGCTAAGTATCTATTTAACACCCCACAGAATTTATTCTCGCCCTTTGCCTGGATGATAAAGGATACGACGGCCAAAATCGAAACTGACAGAGCCTGGAGCATGGCAAAGAGATCGGCATAACTTTCGGGTGTGGTGCCCAGAAACTGTTCTGAGAGTGTGGACCAAACCCCTGCATAAATGAGGACCACTAGACAGCGCCACAGGATGCTAAGGATACGATTGCTACCGCCACGTTTGGGTTCCCGCAACTGGAGCCTCTCCCTGTCCAACTTGGCCGAGAGTAGGGACAGACACCGGGCTATCCGATAGAGCCAAAGGAGCAGGAATCGCGACCACCTTTCCACTCTGTCTTTAGCCATCGTCGAGTGCCAACTGAGCCTGGCTAATGACAGGTCCTGCGATATATATGTATATATACATATATCCGATAAGGATCCCTTTCCCTCCAACTGGCTTGGCTGTTGATTTTATTAATTGAATGTGTGGATATCGGCAATTGCCATTCACGCTCCGCTGAGTGCCTCGCTGACTGATTGGCCCCAGTCCTACGTCGTCGTCGTCGTCGGTCTTGGGTCCCCAGACCATAACAACAATCGGCAATCGATGATGATGGACAGGGCAGCCCCGGACACAGATCCACAGGGTTTTTACTCTGGGCCCTTCAGGCACAAACACAACAGATGGTGCTCGAGAAATGAAACCATCAACGGACACAACAAAAAAACTAAACTAAGAAAAAACTGGGCGTAAATTGATATTTATGCCCGTGTCAATAAAGTTGTTTTGGGTTGATGGACAGACACACACAAAATCAGCCTAAATTTTTTGAGGCATTTTGTAATAAGGTGAATGGACGAGAGTTTAGAAGAAATTCCTACAAATTATTTCCAGAAAATGTATTGATTTGATGCCAGTATTTTTCAAAGTCTTGGAAAATGTTCGATCTAGGTAAAATTTATAAGGAAATTTATATGAATTCCTAAATAAGCGGGTGTTTTTGTAATTTCTTTATAATTTATATTATTCACTTCAAAATATATAAACAAATATTATCACCTAGTTTCTCATATCAACATTGATATAGCATTATTTATGAGGTGTTACACATTTTGTAATTTGTTGATTTATTACATATTGTTCAACTAATTTGTTTGTATTTATCAACCAAAAACAAGCTAATAATCAGTCGCACTTTATTTATAACTATTTAGTTACGTTAATTCTACTCATTATCTCGATTCTCCTAATTCGTATGTTAACACCTAATCTGTTAAGGGGAACACATACAAGTTCAAAAGCAAACAATTAAGTTTCCATTAACCTACATAAATTGATAATTAAACAGAGATACGACCACTACAAATATCATTGAGTGTTCAAAAATGTCTAATTATAAAGTCATCAACTATTACAATTAGATGCGTTTTATTATGTGTAAACATAATAAAGACATTTATTCTAACAAAAACATTTTGTTTAATTTTGTGGGTCTTCAAAACAAGACTGCAAGTGATATATAAAATCATTTAATTGAATAATATTTTAATAGGAAAATTGTCATTAAATTGTATTTAAAATTTAGTATTTTTTAATAGTAAAAATAACTCAAACTAGCAAATTCGCGAAGGCAAACCTTTTAATATTTACTTTAAAACATTAGCAGGTCTCATAAGAATTCGTATGTATTCATTTGCAAACAATTTCTATAAACATATTTTTAGTTTTATTGCTTATCAAGAAAACTATGTTTATGGCTGTACTGAAAACCTCGACCTGATTTTCTCGTTCATTTTCATTTAAATCTCATAACTTGAGTCATAAGTACGATTTTCCCTTGACGCTTCAATGCAAATTTCATTTCAGTTTCAATACACTCCCAGGCAATTAGCAAGGCAATGACTTCTCTATGGAAATCGAAGGAGTATGAGTAGGAGTTGGAGTATGAGTTGGTGTAGGGATTGGAGTTGGAGTTGGAGTCTATTGGACTTGTAGTTGGGGCAGATGGAGCAGCACACCCATTTTTCCAATTCCCCCACACTCCAAAATGGATTGCAAGTTGCCAAACACGTTTGCCGAGCATTAGAATAGCTCCACACTTGGAGTCAACGAACTATGGAGCTAAAGCTGGAGCTGGAGCTGGAGCTGGAGTTGTTTTCCAATATATATCCAGCCAGGGTTATTTTTATTTTCATTTTCACAGAGAACACAGAAGGAAGTGGTGGCCTGGCAATAGAAAAACAACGGAGTCAACAGCCTTCAGCAAATCCAGTTGGGAGTCGCAAAGTTGCTGTCTGCCACATCGGCGATCAGCAACCAGCAACACAGGTCTAGTCCTGCTCCGATCAACAGCAACTATAGGCCACTTTAACGACGACGACGACTGGCGACGAGGGACTCCGAGGTGGATGTGGATGTGGCCGAGGAGGAGCAGTCAGCTCTTGGCTGAAAATGGGCGTGCAACAAGCCTGGGCCCCCAATAACTGGTTTTCCTAGATAGATATAGACAGATAACACCGGCTAGAAAGTCGCTGCCCGGCTGCAAGTATCCCATCCAACTTGCAACAGCATCCTGCAACCAGTTTACGTACAGTTCGCGTCCGTGTTATTACAGTCCCAAGTACATGGAGTAATTGCATGGAGCATGGAGCATGGAGCATGGTGCATGGAGCATGGTGCATGGAGCATGGAGCAGGCCTGACCCCAGTCCCAAGTCCCTAGTCCCAGTGCCCGTGATGATGACCAAGCCGGTGATGGAGATCAGTGATGGGGTTGGGGCGAAGCACAGACAGAAATTGTTGTAAATATATTTAATATGTAATTATTTATAAGTAACTTTCTAAATATATATATAGGTTTGAGAATAATTGAAAAACTTGGTGTTCATTGATATATTAGATAGACTCTTTAAAAACTATACTCGTTTGCTTGATTTTTAAACTGCTTAAACAAATTACTTTAATATTATTAAGTAAAAATAGCTCAGGAATCCCTTAAATGTATACAGTAAAATTTGATAAATAAATAAATAAAAATGTTTACTCATTAATATTTAAAGGTAAATCGTTAGGTTGTAGGATCAACTTGTATTCAAGATTTAAGGTGTATTCTTTAAAACCTGTAAAACCTTTAATACAATTATGAGTATAATAGTAAGAACTAGTAAAATCAGTTTCTAAATTCCCCAAAATAATGTGATTACACTTTTACTCGTTGATATATAAAGATTACACATTAACTTTTAAGATGAACTCCATACTATGTGAAGTATTCTCTTCAAAGTCTATACAACCTTCAATCCTTTTCAAGGTATACCAAACTTTCTTATCCATAAATTCCAAACTATAATCCAGATTAATTACCAACTTTTTCCCGCTGTGTGCAGATGTAGTAAGATGCTAGTATGATGCTAGCTGCTGCATCTGTGCTGCGGCCAATGAACCGATGGAAAGACAATAGGAGCAGGTCCCGGGCCAAGAGCCCGTACCCAACCCAACCCAACCCAACCCAAACCCATTCCCATTCCCATTCCCATTCCCATTCCCATCCCATACCCCGATCTTGGACAAGAGGCTGTACAGGGGCTATATAGCTGCAACTCCATAGCTGCAGAGCTACACAGATACGGATGCTTATGCTCCGAGCTGTGTGCTCCACGCCTGCCGCTGTGTTGTTTTGCTAAATTGGAAATAATTGCCCCGAGGCAGAGGCAGAATGCACGTGTGCACTTGTCAGGAGCGATGGCAAAATATATTTCTAAAGGGGATAAGTAAGCTTCTTTACTTGGGCATTTATATAACTATAAATTTAGATCTTTAAAGGGAATATGTGGATATATTTCCAAGCTAGGAGATCTAATAAGATTTATTATTTCAAGGCATTCCAATTTAAATCAATTGGTATGAAGTTTTATTAATAAAATAGTCTTCAATCAATATTTATCTTGTTCTTTGTTAGATAATTTAAATATATCTTTTAAGTTTATATATTATCCATTAAGACCCATTGGAAAATTCCTTTGCAAATCCAGTGGAAAGTCCATCTTGACCTCCTGTCATATCAAGAATCTTTTTCCATTTTCATAAATACTTAAGTGATGTTAAAGAGCAACGTTTTATAGGTTCTTCTTAATATTTTTGAACTCGCTTTCAAGGGGAGTGCTCTGAGCCCCCTCAACCCCCCATTTGGCTTGCGCCTATGCCCCCCGCCTGTTGCTGCTGCTGCTCTGCTGCTGCTGCTCTGCTGCTATTCTGCTGCTGCTCTGCTGCTGCTGCTGTTATCATTGTCATCGGTTGTTGTTGCGATGACATAAAGTGAGCTTTCATAGAGAGAGGAGAAAGGGGCAAGGAGAAGAACAGAAGAGCAGTAAGTGAGCGAGCTCCGATCAGAGCGAATCTGCAAAGGCAGCGGGCAAAAAATAAACACAATGGAGAGTCGCGCAAAATAATAATAACAATAAAGTTGTGTACGGCAATAATAAAAAAAATGTACATGAAAGGTTCAACGACATTAGGAGATTAGAGAGCATTCACATGCGGCTCTACGCGACAGCAACAACAACGCTCGGAGAGAGTGGATACCGAATGCAACATTTACATATATGTAAGTGTAAGGAGGAAAGAGTACGAAAAAAGAGAGAGGATCCCCAATGGAAAGCAACAACAACGAAAAAGGAAAAGAAAGAATACAACGACAACGACGCATAGAGTAAGAAAAAAAAAACAACAAAAAAGTCATCGACATCACATGGATTTTATGTTGATGTATCAGAGGGGGGTTAACAGGGGGGTGGGGGCTGTCAAGGCACAAGGACGGGGACCTGGGGGTCGGGGTCGGGGAGTTGAGAGTCAGGAGCAGGGGCAGGAACAGCAGAAGCAACAAAAAAGAAACAGAGACAGCGACAGGAAAATGTTTTTCATTGTCTATGCTCGTTGGAGAAAAACTAAAAGCGGCCAGATGGAGCCACCAAAAGGCACTGAAAAAAACTAAGAAAGGTATTAAAATACCCCTTTTTTATTAGCAATTTATTTTTATAAACAATATTCCTTTTTAGGTAGAAATTTTACCAATTAAAATAGTTTAAAACAATATGTTCTTGACAGAAACCTAAGCTCAGACCTCTTTGGAAGTTTTTCCATGGAAATTTCCTGAAATTTGCTCACATTACTTAAAATACAACATTTCCTAACACTTTTGGCATCAATTTTTTCTCTCAGTGCCGGAGTTGGAGTCATTACAGTTGCGGGAGACATGCCCCATGCGTTTGCATAAGCAGCAGCAACAAAGACAGAAATAGGAAAGAGCACTGAAAAAAGTACTTAGGGAAGGGGGCAGTACGTCAACCCATGCAAATCCTGCACTT